TAGAATTAAAGAGAAAGTATTATCACATGAAACGAAGCAACTTAAACAACTTACATTGAAAGAAATGTTTAATAAAATAAACAAATAAATATCAAGCTCTTTTTTTTTTTTTTTTTTTTTTTTTTTTTTTTTTTTTTTTTTTGTAAATTTTGATACCCTTTAGATCATAATTGTTCTTTATTTCAGAAATTACGGTTTCATATTTTTAATTTTATAATTTCTGCATGCCATCTTACCAGATTAAAACTGATGATCTATAATCCGTAAAAATCGATAATCCGGAATCGCCGAAGTCCCGATGAGTCCGAATTAAGGACTTTTGACTGTAGTATACAAACAGAATGACAAAGAAACATGGAATTGAAAATTTTTTATAATGTTCTTATGTTTTACATTAAGTAACTTACATTATTCAGTTGCTCGTACTTGATTTAGTTATTAATTATTTATGTTTAGTTTAAAAAAATGTGGTGTATTTGGTCATGGAAAGTCAGAGAAATTAAATTTGAATTTGAGAGGTTGGTATGATTAGGCATATGATTGTATCGAGACAACCTGCGATAGAACCCTTTAGAAATAGAGGTGATTTACACAAAAATGGAATCCTTGTTAAAAATGATGAATTGAAAAAAGAAGAAAGGTAATGAAATTGTTCTTAGACTGCACCATGACGATGTAGACGTATATGATGAAATTAAGAACAGTTTGAGTCCGGTGAAAATAGGCATCAATGTAGTTGATTCATATTGTCGAAAAAACAGAGATATAGGGGTGTGCCTAAAGAATAAAGAAGAGTGTAAAATATTAGAACAGACAGTATTGGAGAATGAAAAATTGAGTTCCCTGGTTAGACCTAAAAGGAAGAGATTTATTAAACCCAAGATTATTGTTTACAACATCTCGATGTTCTTCCGGCGGACCAGATGATAAAGGAAGAGTGCTGTTGCAATGGTGAATGCGTAGGCCTGTTATTTAGAATTCATGCTCCAGAAAGGGAGGTCTCTCATTGAGTGTACCAAATTTCTGGTTTCCTGCCAAAAAGTTCTGGGGGACCAATGGATTACTGTTGGATTGAAGTCATATTCCGCTAAATAGCATCTTCGCCCAAAAAGATGCATAAAGTGTTTAAGGTGTGGATGTATTAAGAAATATTGTAAGAATGACATCGCCAGTGGAATTTGTTCATTGGCACATATTAAGTCAGAATGTAGATCTGAAACTGAGAAATGTATTAACTGTGTAGAAGTTAATAAAAAGTATGGAACCAGCTATTCAGAAAATCATAATGCATTTTCTAAGGAATGCTCGGTTTTAATCGAGGAAACACGTTTTTTAAGGGATCATTATTTGAATGTACAGAAATTTTATTGGATAGGTTTAAAGGCCTATTATATGCATATCGGCTGGGACATTTTATACTTGTGTATTCTTTTCTGCTTCTTAGTGCCAAAATATACTGGATTTTAATTTTGCCTATTTTGGATATTGCTGTTTATTTCATTCTTTTAATTTTGGAAATGAAGATATTAAATATTAACTTAAATCATTGTAATGCTGCGGCATGCTGCTGTCTGCAGTTGAGAATATTAGGGCTGAGGTACTTGATATTATTGCGCTGCAAGAGCCGTATTATATTAAGGATTGAATTGCTTATATTAAAAAAGAATGAAGAGCAATTCATGATAAAAATGGGAAGAGCCGCAATTGTAGTGTGCAATTCCGAATTTAATATTCAAGTGGATGCTGTCGGGAATATTACGGTGGCAATATCTGTATTTTTGGGGAAGAAAAATGTTGGTATCGTCTCAGTTTACTTCTCGCCTGCTGAGGACTTGAATGGACATTTATTTAGATTGAAAGAGATTTTAAATATATATGATGATGAAAATGATTTTATTGTTATAGTTGATTTTAATTCAAAACATTTTAATTGGTGGGGGCACCTGTAGTAGGTACAAAGGGAGATATAACCAATGATTTTATTGCACAAAATGGTAAATGACTCAGATTCTAAACCTACATTTTTGTCCTCAGGGAAAGAAGGTTGGACGGATCTAGTCTTGAGTTCACCAAGACTTAATACTCAGGAAGTTAATATGAATATTTTGGATGAGGATTCTCTTAGTGAGCACAGCTATATATGGATTGAAACAGGACTAGGGTTGAAATTGGAAAGTGATAAGAAATTTATAACTACTAATATTAATATATTTAAGAGATTTAGTCTAAATATAAGAAAGGATTTATTAGAAATGGAAAATGAGGTACTGAAATATAAGAATGAAGAACTAAAATAAAGTGGTTTCATATATTGAGAATCCTATTATAACCCAAAAGTGGAAAAGCTGAGTGTGCGGAAGAAAGAGGATAGGAAAAAAACTCCCTAGTGGAATTCGAAATTGGATAAAATAAGAAGACAAGTGAGAGCAGCACGTAAATGGACACAAATAAAAGATGACTGAGAGATGATATCAAGATTGCGCGAAAAATCGAATATGAAAGAAACCTAGCAAAATATAAAAAACTTATCAAGCGTGCGAGGAAAGAGTATAAAAATTATCTGTTTATGAGAGATGTGAATTATTATGATGGATTCTTTAGAGTTCCCACCACTAAAATGAAAAAGAAAATAATTATTGAGAGAGATAGTGAAGCCCCGACGGCGTCTATTGAGAACAATTACAAACAAATTATCGAAGATACTTTATATCTTAAGAATTTTATTGAGGATATAAATGAAGAAGAAATTATTATGGAGCAGGATGAAGAGGAGAAAGACCTTTCTTTATAATGAAATTTTGATTTTTGATTGTGATGAAAAGTCTACAGATAAGGTCTACTTCTGCGTTAGATGGGATCGGGGCCACATTTTTGAAGATATTGTTTGAGGAGTATCCTTCCTGTTTCATAGTGTTACATAATAGATGCTTGAAGTTGGGAATATTTCCAAGATGTATGGAAAATTGGAAAATTAATCTTGATTCCAAAGGATAAAGAAGGGATTTCGTCCAATTTGCCTATTGAAAACATTTGCAAAGATTTATGATAAACTTTTAGTTAATAGACTGCAATATATTTGAAACAAGAATGATATTATTTATGAAAAGCAATTTAGTTTTAGAAAGGGAAGGTTAACCGAATTGGCTCTGTATAGAGTCATGTCTGGCATTAGAGAGAAAAGAAAGACTAAGCATGTGGCTCTGGTTTCATTTGACGCCAGGGTTGCCTTCGATGATGCAAGGTGGCTCTCCTCCCCGATGCGACAGTTGAAGAATATTGGAATTGCTAAGAATATGTATGAAATTATAAAAAGTTACTTTAAAAGGTAATTTTTAAGGGTCTATCTGATAATCTGAACCTGGTTTTTGACATTTACAAAGGATGCCGACAAGGCTCTTGCAGCGCTCCTCTGTTCCGGGGCCTCATTGGTAATGATTTACTGCAGAGTGTCAATATTTCGAATTGTGAGATTGTCTGTTATGCTGATGATATATTGGTTATGGTGGACGTAGACTCTCTTGAAAAAATGGAGAAAGTATTTAAAAAAGTAGAAAATGATTTGAAAGAATAGGGTGACAGAGAGAAAATATATTTTAATAATGAAAAAATTTATGGACTTTTTCCCCCTCGGGGAGGGGGGGGAGAAAGACTAGACCTCCCACAATTGAAATTTAAAGGTAATCATATCAAATTTGGTAAAAATATGAAATATCTAGGAATTATTATTGATAGCAAATTAAGTTTTGCGGAACATTTTAAACATATACATAGAATCACAGATAACACTTTAAAATGTTATAAGTATAACTTCAGTGCTGTTACTTTGAATAGAAAGAGTTCTACCCTGAGAGAAATATTTAGAAATGTGATCATCCCTAAAATGGATATCATCCTTTTATGGAGTCGGAGCTTGGGGCTGCCGGGCAGAGGAGATACTTAGGATTAGAATGAAATTGGATACCCTGCATAGAAGTTGATTGCTTGCCATTACAAGAGCCTTCAGAACCGTTTTGACTGAAGTTGCCTGCGTCCTTGCGGGTGTTCCGCCCCTCTTGATTTTATACAAATTATACTACAAAAAGTTTCTATTAGCTAATAAAATTATTATAAATACTGAAATTGGACAAAAAGTACTCACAAGTAAGGCCTTTCAACAAGAGAATGAGGATATTATTCACCCAATGACACAGTATTTGGATTATTATATGATCTTGAGTTTCCTTCTGGTGGCGAAATAGACGTTTTTACAGATGTTTCTGGAATTTATGGTGGAGTGGGTAGCGCTGTGGTAATTTATTTTCATGGAGTGGAGATAGACAGTGTGAGAATGAAACCTAAACCAACGAATTCGGTATATCAAGCAGAACTATACGCAATGACAGAGGCTTTGAATTAGATTAATAAAAAATTAACAGTTCGATGTTTTATAAATATTTATACTGATGCCCTATCTGCGCTTCAGGCACTCACCCAACCAGATCATAAAAATCGACTGATTAATGAAATAAAAGACTTGTTTAAAAAGGCTGAAAGAAAATATATTGTTAAAATGCATTGGCTGAAAGTACACAGTGGAATTGTGGGAAATGAAAGAGCGGACACCCTTGCTGAAATGCAAGAGGGGGAAGCAAGTTCATTTATATCCCTGTTCCCTGTAATTTAAATAAATTAAATTGCTTCAGCTTCTCACAATAGAAATTAGATATATAGATAGATAGAAAATTATGTGAAAGTTCTCTGCATAAAAATACTCGTATTTCTTAATCGCTGAAATAAAAAGAAAAAAAAAAAAAACTTACTTTGTGTACTTAATAAAAGGTAACATACAGTTACTTACTTGCTATTGAAACTGTACACTTCTTTTGTGATAACTATCTCTCTCTCTATATATATATATGTGTGTGTGTGTGTGTGTGCATATATATGTAGTCTATATATAGAGAGATATGCATATAATATGCGGCAATATTTCAGTTAAATATATAAATATATTTTTTTAGGTTGATGAAGATACAGAAAATAAGAAGATGAATTATATGAAACAAGAAACTGAGCTGGGCATATGTGTGTTCTGTTGCAAATAATTTACTGTACATAGAAAATCATCTTCAAATAAAATAGTCAATATTTTTGTGAATTATAATCTAATGTTTATTCAATGAAGAATATTTAGATACTCACATATGCTCTAATAATTACTTGACAAAAAAATATTCTTGTCATCTTTTGACTAATTTTCTTATAGATGCTGATAGGAATTCCTTTTAATTCATTCTGTTTTGAAAATACAGATTCTTTGATTGCAAAAATTTATTGTTGATTTTTGGTGTAATTTGCATATGATGGTCTTTATTTAGAGTAAAATTTTGATTAGTCAAATTAAGTATCAAAATATAGAATTCAAAATTAATATTATTCAAATAAAATTTGAAAATAAATTTCTTTATTTCAATACATTTTTGATATGGTGAAATTTTGCTGATTCTTTCACTTTTACTACAGAGTTCTCCTCTATTTACCTACGATTATATTTATAATATATTTTGATTATTAGTTCGTAGTATTATTCTAATAGTATTAAACCCATTTTTTAATCAACGATTCCTGCAGATAAAACTACTTTTGTGTGTGTGTATGTTTTTTTTTTTCCCCTCCTTATATCTTTTTCTTATATGAAAACATATTGACATGTAATGATATACTTTTCCTAATGATGATGTAGGTGTTGTATGTGGGCATTCAGCAAGTTTTAAGCCTAACATATTTGTACTAGATAAATGACTAAAATTTCTTTCTCAGTTCTCCCTCTGTACACAGTTCACCTTGACTTCAATGCAATTAGCAGAGAAATCAGCTAAATTTTGGATTATAGTAAAATAAAATAAGAACTGCTTGATTTTGCATCATGTGTTGTATCCAAATTAAGCAGTTTCAAGAATTTTTATAGATATCTGTTTTGAAACAAGCATAATTTTGGTATGTTTTAAAAACATTAGTAAGCTAATGCTTTTATGATGGAACATGAGTGCTAAAATACAAGTTTTCTTTGTATATTAGTAAATTGATCAGTTGCTGCATTGTTTGTGAATGATAATCATAAGTTTTGCTAGAGATCTCCAACTGTGAATATATTTACTCATCATATGTCTCTGGAAGTACTGATATTTTGCCATGAATTACTTTTCTCCTTTTAAAATAGAGCCAAAGCTTCATATTCCAAACATTTATTAGACAGGAATTGTGGTTTTCACAAACAGAATTGAAGTATACTTTCACAAACAGAATTGAAGAATTGAATTCAGGAGAATTTCAACCTGAATTCTCCTTCCCCTCCCCCAAATTGAGACTGCCATGGATAATGCATATTCTGATATACAGTCACATTCCCCATATCCACATATTCAGTGTCTGCAGTTCACATGAAAAAAGAGAAAGTCCTTTGAAGTTTCAAAATGTATGCCAAGTGATGAACAACCTATGACCAAATGTGAAACACAACCACTAAAATAAGCCGAGCATTTTATTTCTGTAGCAATTACAACTATATTTACATGTATATGTTACGGCCAAAGCCCGAAGTCGGCCAGTTCCCGAATTGGCCGGCCAAATCGCGAAGCAACCAATATCGCCTTACAATGACCGTCCAATGTCCGATCTTTTCTTGATTTTGGGGTTTGGCCAGCCAGTTCGCGAAGTGGCATGGGGCGATCGGCCAAAGTCAGAGGGAAAAGGTCATGAACAAATTTTGGGTGTTTGTATACCGTAATGCTAATGATAATCACATTATAGCTGCCATAGATGAGTTTTCCGACGAATCCGCCCCTCTTAGGCGCCTAGGATTGTCCTACGGAACAAAAGCCAAGGAGGTACGGTGGCTCTAGGTGGGCTGTAGTCTGAAGGGAGAAGTTTTAGTGAGTAAGGATCTCACAGTACCAGAAACCTCCTGGTCTCTTATGAAAATTTTCTCTCCCTTGGAGAAAACAAACAAAAAGATAATCACATTATCTACTGAGTTTATTACAGAAAATTATCAGTATCATCACTTGTTACAACAAGATGAACTTTTATGACATTTCGAATTACACAGCAGTTTGTTATTTTTACATCTGCAGCGATTTGTTAAGCACTTGGTAGTGCAACTGCATCGAGTGTAGGCCGCCGGTCAGCGATTGTGAAGAGGCAATGGTTCGTAATGATTTTTCCTCTGTGCCCACGGATGCCAATGTAAGTAGTTTCTCTTGCAAAATGGAAAACTCACTTCTGGAGTACAGTTGTTTGGGAACACCATGTTTTCTTCCTAGCTTGTAGAAAGCCCCCTCGATATTCATGACAACTGCAAGGACGCTTCGTGGATCACCGCGACCTCTGTCAACATCTGATATACGGATGCGTACATTATTACCAACTTTCGCTGGTGGAAATTTTGCATCTGAATATTTTAGCATCTTGATACCTTGAGTTTGTAAGCTAGCATGGGCAGCTGACCTTTTATTCGTGATTTCTTGTTTATTATGACACAGTCTACAGGTATTTTTCCTCCTTCGTCTGCTTTATTACTTATTCCACAAATTACGTGCACAACCTTTCCGCAGGATCCACAAGAATGGGATGAATTACACTCTTGTTGACATACTACACAGAATTTGTTCGCATTTTTATTGTCAGACAACTGATCTGGACTTTCCGATGTCTCCGTCGCTACTGCAGCTGGTTCGTTTGCGGAAAAGTCGCTGTATTTACAGCATCATCCATTTCTTGTTTGACATTCTCGAGATCTTCGTCTGTAACTAAGTTATCGATAACCTCCATGGGTAGATTTGAGGTGCTCAGTCCCACTTTTGCTTTGCAGCCAAACATAGCCTCATAAGGTGACTGCTGAATTCCTTGATGAAAAGAACGGTTTTTCGTGAATTGAATGAATCTGATACTCTCGGCCCAATGTGTAGATTTATTTATCTGCATCCATTTCACCATCATATTATGAACATCTTGGTTGGCATGTCTACTGAACCTTGGCTTTGGCTATATCTCGGTTTTCCATGAACTAGTTTCAATTCAGGCCACATGTTCTTGAGTTCATTAATAACTTGATTTGCAAATTCTCTTCCATTATCTGATTGAAGCATGCTTGGAGTACCTATGGTTGTGAAGACATCCAGTAGCTGGTAAACAACTTCTGCTCTTTTGCTTTTCAGAGCTCGCAATAATATGAACTTCATTAAATGATCCTGGTAATTGAGTATAAACTTGAATTCGCCCTCTGGGTTACTTTGCATGTCGATAAGATCTACCTGGCATCTTGAGTTAAATTCTTTAAATATCAAAGGTTTAGAAACTAGACATTTCTTAGGATTAGATAATTTGGTCTGACACGGTTTGCATAAGCAAAGATACAATGTAATGATTTCCTTGGTGACATTTTTGTACTTGGTTTGCAGCTCCTTCTCCATCCGTGTGCGACCTCCATGTCCAATTTTCGAATATCATGTAGCAAGTCAAATAACTCTTCTGTGTGCACATAGTACAAAATAACGCTATTGTCTTCTGTTACTGGACAATAAGTTTTCTTTTCCGTCAACCTCAATAACATCATATTTTCTTAGTCGACGATAGTCAACACTTTCTTTTTTCTGCTTTACTTTAGCCTTTTTAACGTCCTCTATGAAAATAGATTACTTGTCTCTGCTGATGAGGATCCAGCTATTATCTGCTTTTTCTTGCAGCAATATATTCAATTTACTTAAGAACATGGTTCTCATAGCAAAAGCTGGTTCCGCATTTGCATGTGCGTCATGTTTGCCCAGCATACTAGTTTCGTCAGGAAAAGCCATGCAAAAAAAAAAAAAAAAAAAAAAAGTATAGAAAAACAATACGATACTCACAAATCATGCGGCGATCCTTTCGTGGTTTAGCAGTTAATGTACATGTAAATAAGTTTTAGGTGAAACTACAGAATCTAACATAAATAAAGAGGCACCTATTCAATCAACACTTTAAGTACCAAAACTTTTTTCATGTGTAAACAAAGGTTTTTCACTATATATTGCTTAAAATTAGCTCATTAAACAGTATTATAGTGCTTGCATTTAAGGGAAAAAAATTAATAGATTTATAGGATGTTCCCAAATGGGAATAATGCTCCTTCCCATGAATATCTGAGGCATATGTTTAAAAATAGAGAAATTATTTTTTCAGCATAAAATATTTAATTAGTTATTAATTACTTTACATTTATACACATTTTGGATTTAGATATCTATTCTTTTTCACATAAAATTTTCCTGAACAATTAAATTTTACTTGTTAATTAAAAAAAATTTCACGACATAACACATCTATTATAGCGGAAAATATTTTTTTGCATATTTTGTGAATAAACAAAGTAAAATCAGCACTCCAATTTTATTTCAAAAAATCATTTGATGTGTTAAAATATTAGTTAAGTTCAATTAATAAATTAAAAATTTCTGTAATTTTTTAAATATTTTTTTTTAATATGATTTCTCCATTTGGGAACAATGGTCCTTAAAGCGTTAAGAAGCATCTGAGCACAAGATTCTTTGTTTGTTTTTAGTAGCTTTTATATCAAGAAAATTTTCAAATCTTTTATATTTAAATGACTCTTTTTTTTTTAGGAATCGAAAATTTTCAAATGATTGAAGTAAAACTTGGATTTATGAGACGGTTGAACAGTACTTTGGCACTGAGCACCACTAATGGCCCTGAGGCACCTTCTAATGGCAGTGAACACCACTCAGTACCATTAGAAGTTTGAGTTAGGAGAAATTATTCGAAAAATTGTAGTTGCTGTGCTTGGAAAGCACGTACAAATTCTTGAAACGGAGTTTGATCCTTAGTGTAACAAAAAATAAACGAATATTGAAAGGGCTTAGCTATCCGGGGAAATCACACTAACCCGCAATCAAAACTATTCAGTTGGCGGGCCCGTAAACAGATTCGTAATTCGATTCATGGATGCCAGATACACTGAAAATATAGCACATCGAACATTGGCCAGAGAGTTCCGGGCACTTCGGGAAGTGGCCGGCTAAAGTTGCATATACGCTATTCATTTCCAGTACATCAGACATGGGCCACACGCCCCGGCCAATGTGCGAAATGGCCGGCCAATTCGAGAACTGGCCGAACTTCGGACTTTGGCCGTAACATATACATTTTTCTAACAGACCAAACTAGGCAATCTTTTATTGCAATCTTAAACCGTTTTTTTTTTTTTCCTGCAGAAGGTGAAAATGTACTGGAATAATGAGTGATTATTCTAAAACTTTTATTGGTACTAGTGTAGAACTCAAAAAATTGGTTAAGTGTCCAGATGAGAATTTAGCGAGTTTTTATACCACTGAAGGTATAGAGTGAAAATTTATTCCTCCTAAGTCGCCAAATTTCAGCGAAATTTGGGAGGCCGGTGTTAAATCTTTTAAGCGTCATTTGAAGAGAGTTATTGGTAATCAGTGCTTAACTTTAGAAGAATTCTTAACTATTTTAACAGAAATTGAAGGAGTATTCAATTCAAGACCTCTTACTCCAATTTCAGCTGATTACAATAATTTTGAAACTTTGACCCCAGGTCACTTTTTAGTTGGCAGACCTATCAAACTCTTGCTGAGCCAGATTTATCCAAAATAAATGAAAGCAGACTGTCTAAATGGCAAAGAATCACTAAGTATGCACAAAAAATTTGGAAATTATGAAAACGTGACTATCTTAATAATTTACAAGAACGTCACAAATGGAAATTTTTAAAGGAAGACGTTCAGTTGGGAACTCTTGTATTAATAAAAGATGAAAATTTGCTTCAACCAAATGGTTAGTGGGGAGAATAGTTGAGGTTTTTCATGGTAGGGATAACAACAGAACAGAGGAGAATCTTGTCTAATAGCGCATGCGCCACCAGAATCGGGGCTAAAATATCGTTTGTGAGAAACTTAATTTAATTGTGTGTTTTCCACAAACAGGAATCGCACTGCGTCTTGATCCTTTTCTGCCAAACCAATCTGCAAAAATGCTTTTTCCACATTCACTGAAATTGCAATTTTATTTAATCGGAAATTAATTAGCAGATAGAACATGTTAGGATTCAAATTTGTCCCTGTCCATAGACAATCGTTCAGTGATAACTGCCCGATAACAGGTATTCAAAAAATGTTTTTCTATTCTCGCAGTCATAATATTTTTCTTAAATATTCAGCTAATTCAAATTCAAATATTCCAATCCATTACAATTAGTTATAAATCGATACATTAAATAAAGAATTAAAAACAATTAAATGGAATTTTAATTCATTTTAATTGCCATTTTCCCTCTGATAAACCCCTCTTTAGAGTTGAATAGCAGTCAATCAGCTTTCGTTGGGGTTCATTTTTCTTTATGGTATGCTTACGTTATATATATGTATGTATTATGTATTGCTCATGGTCGTCAATTGCAACTTTTAATAGCTCTTGGAAAAAAATCAGGATGGCAATCCAGAAAATGATTCTTACAGACGCTAAAATTATTTATTACTAGGCATTGTCATGCCACAATGTTTAAAAAAAAAATCCCATTGTTTAAAGGTAGATCCTATGCTTATATCCTAGTCTAAAATTAAAAGCTGCGAGTCAAAATTAAGGGGGTTGCTCTTAGGAATTATTAATTATCCTTAATTAGAAGTAGGACTGGTATTATAGGAAATGTTAATCAATACTTATTATCTTATGGATTAAGCACTTACTCCCTATTTGATCACGTGTATGGCAAACAGATATTCGTCATTCATAAAGAAAAGGAAGGTGAATCAAAATGAGTTATATTCTTGTTTTTCCAACTGCAAAAACATCTTAAGATACTATCGGATTTAATCTTTAAATTATTCCAATATTAATCAGAACAATGGGGGCCATTATTCTTAACTATAATTTACTAATGCAAATTCTATTTTGGTTTCAAATGGCTTTCATTAATTACATTAATGATATGGATATTTACTAATTATTACTATTACTAAAATAGTTGTAAATACTTTATTACTGATATGTTTATATACTATTTTATTAAAAAGCGTATCTATTAATTTATTAATAAATTTATTATAATTTATTAATATTAATTGTTTATTTATTAATAAACCAAAAAAGTGCATACTAATATTATTAAGCTGTTTAGTAAATACGTAAAAGTTCAAACTTTAGTAAATACGTAAAAGTTCAAACAACTTCAAAACTTTTCGAATCCTATGTAATTTGTCTCCATTTCGGTACCGTGTGCATCCTTGTACGCGTTACTGACTTACAGTGAAGAACAGAGAGCTCCATTCAAGATTTTATTCCTGATCTACTGATACTGAATGAGACCTAAAAACAAAAATATATCTCCCTTAGGTCCGACAGCGTTTACTTTCCCCTTCCTTAATTAACGTCAGTCTCTTGCTCTTGACCGCATTTGCAAAGCCACCGCTCGTAACATATCATAAAAAACTTCCGCGCCGAGCAACAGGTTTACTTTCTCTGGTATATAAAATTCCGGATCCGCTAACTTCACCTTCTCCGGAATCACAAGGTTACTAACATCGATAAACTTTGCGGGAGTTAAACCTGCTATTTTTGAAATTACCAAAACCTCTACTTTCCTTTTATACGTTTGTTCCTGATTACAGATAAGAACAACTGTTTTTCTTTTTATCGTAGTTGAAGTACCTGATATACTGCAAACGAAATATTTGTCTTTTTTAAATTAAGTATATCCGCTAATTCAGTGGTACGAAAACAAAAACACTTCCACTATCACGTAACGTTTTCACCTTAAAGTTCCATCATTAGTCTCAATGAATACAAAGGCATTAGATATTGTTAGTACCCGTAGCTGCTGTAAAGGTTTCGTTTGGAGTTTTAGCTTGAAATGCAGGTGCGTATACATTTAACGCATTGCTGTTTTGATCACCCAACTCCTGATCTCCTCTTTCTACTGTGGTACCAAAGGAATTATTTTCATTTTGATAACATAAGAGAAAGCTGTGTTTTTTCTTACACTTCTTGCACAAGTAATTAGAACGGCAATTTCTCACACTGTGCAAATTAAAACAGCAAAAACATAAATTCTGTTTTTTCACAAATTCTACCCTTTCCTTGCCACTTAATTTCTGAAATCTAGGACAATTAAAAAGTTTGTGATTGCTCCAATCACATAATCTACACGAATTCTGTGTGGTGTATGTTTTTTTTTTTTTTTTTTTTTTTTTTTTTTTTTGCAATTAGAAACGACAGCGAAACTCTATGTGTAACTTTTTTTGTATTAGTCACACTATTTGAAGCGTTGAGAGTTCTTGCATGATCTTTAAGAAATTCTATAAGATCTGTTAAATTAGGCAAATTCTCTTTCTCTAATTTTCTTTCCCACCATATTTTGGTGTTAGGATCTAATTTTTGCCCTAAAATGTATGCAAATACATTG